GATAGATGATGGATGGATGGAGATGATGTTGGATGAATTGGATAGATATGATGGTTGGACGGGTGAATATGATGATTGGATGGATGGATATGATGGATGGACTGATGGATGGATAGATGGATGGATGGATGGATGATGGATGGATGGATGGAGATGATGATTGGAATAATTGGATAGATATGATGGTTGCACAGGTGAACATGATGATTGGATGGATAGATTGGATGGATGGATGGAAAAGAAACAGAGATAATTTATATTTTGCCTTTCTCTGGCAAAGGCAGCTAAGAACAAAATACATATCAGAAGCAGATAAAAGGAACTGATTAAGTCATCATTCAGCCACATGAAAGCAACTTAGAAGGCCAACCCAACTGCCTCCTGAGGGGTCCATTGGGCAGCTGCACCAGCTCAAGCCTGGTGTAGATACTCAAGTAGGTGACACATAAATGATTTGGGGCTGCAGGCTGTCCTACTCCATATCATCATCACCCAACATGCCTTTGAGGACCTGTTTAGCATTCCCTCCCAACTTGTTTTTTTCTCTTTTTTTCCACTGGCATGAACTACTCTCAGTAGCAGCTTCTGGTGTTCAACATTCTTCAACTGAGTTGGAAACGTTATGATAGGATATGAATGCATGTGAAGTCAAAGCCAATTGAAAAGAGTTGGTCTTTTTCTGTGATGTTACTATTTACTACAAGGAAGACTGGAGTTATTTGCATATAGAGAGTTGTTATTAATAGACTTACTGCCCTTTCTGCATAAATCATGGGTTCAGTGACATTTATTGAGAGGATATTGATTCCTACTTATCAGAGAGAAAACAATGAATAGGGCTGGGTTTATTTATTTTGTCTCAAGCAAAACACTTATAATGAACTGCCCGAGTATACACCCAAATTTGCATACGTGTTTGGCAAACCTCACTATGTGAGACATAGAGATAAACTCTCTTACGGGTGTTTTCTTTCTGCAGAAAAGTGAATCGTTGTGTTTCTTCTTTTAAAAGGTTGTTTTGCTTTTAGGACAGGAGTCTCCAACCTTGGCAACTTTAAGCCGGGTGGACTTTAGCTTTGCTGGCTGGGGAATTCTGGGAGTTGAAGTCCGCCAGGCTTAAAGTTGCCAAGGTTGGAGGCCCCCATTTTAGAAGGTTGGAAGTATTTGAAGCAATATTGGGAGGACGATATGGAAAGACCAGCGTCCAGCCAGCCTATTTTGCCTCAGAAGATGCTAACCACAATTGCTGGTTAAACATCAGGAGATCTTGTGGATCCAGGAGATCACTAAAGCCTGAATTCCAACACTGTCCAACATTGGGAAGAGTGTTTGTGAGGTTCTCAAAATATCAAAAGTGGGTTCCTTGCTAAGCAAGACACTTGTTAAGTTAGTTTTGCTCCATTTTATGACCTTTACTGCACCATTGATAAGTGAATCGCCAAAGCTGATACCTTAGGAACATGGTTGTTAAGTGAATCTGGCTTCTCCATGAAGTTTGCTGGTCCAAAGGTCACAAAAGGGGATCACAGACATGATCCCAGGACACTGCAACTGTCATAACTACATGCCAGTTACCAAGCAACTGAATAGAATAGAATAGAATAGAATAGAATAGAATAGAATAGAATAGAATAGAATAGAATAGAAT